CGGGGCTGGATGCGGGTACATCTAAGCCTTTCTTGGGCCATAACTTGCGAAATGTTGAATTTTGAAAATATATTGTGACTATGTATTTTAAAAGTTTGAACATAAAATCATTATATTTACACGAAGTAACTTCATATAAAAGTACTTAACTTTTAATCGAGCCTCTTAAGTATAATAAACAATACTGAGTCAATCGAAATTCAAAGAGGTCTAACATTTCATATGGGCTTGGGGATGGTTGGGGCAAAAGGGTCTGTTTGTCTTTCTTTAAGAAAAAGAGATAACACTTGAAAAATACTGGTTTACCCGTTTTTAAAACGTTGACTAGATTTTATCTAAGGAGGAATGTTTTATCGGACCACAATGTTATTGTTCCGATGCTCTATTAAAAGAACCCCCTCCCCCTTCTCTCTGTGTGTGTCTATTTCTCTCTCACATACACGCGCACGCACGCACACACGCACACAAGTTTGACATGTGTATTGTCTCATTTATTGTGTAATTATTCACCACTTACAACTGAGTCATGGGTTACGTGATTATACTCGTGGGAATTAACGATTCACAACACCAGTGCAGTAAACTAGCTCTGCACTAAGTGTGACACTGTGTGGGTTTTGTTAATTCTGTTGATGTATATACACTGCGATGACAAACAAAACTAAATCTCTCCTTTGGCAGGTAATATTCAACAAAAACACCACAAAACACCCATATACAATAAATCGTAAACTTTATCATATCCCAAGGGCTTGTAACGCAAAAAATGGCATAATGGTATATAATATCAGTCACGGGGTCTTAGCACCATATAAAACTTAAAGATGAGTTAATTATATTGTTAACCTGTCCTTGACAACATATACCATGATGGCTTTTCGCGTTGCAACCCCATGTGTCACATGCAACAAATTATCGTGCAATGATTAATTAATCCCAAAATTAGTTATTTCATATTGATTTATGACATCTACATTGCCTGTTCACTGACCCGTTGAAGCCAAAGTTTTCGTGTATTTCTGGTTGTTTATCTCAAAGTTTATTTATTATTCCATTTAGGAATTTCGACGACCATACAGAAGAACATGACCTTTTCAACCAAAGCCATCTACTTGAATGTTAATCTTCATTCCGATGTGTTGTACAGGGTCACCTTATCCCTTATAATGCACATAACAGAAACCTGTTTCCATCGTTATCGGTGCCGGTGGTCCCGTTCCATAGCTGGAACTTTCAAGATGTGGGTATGCTCAGGAGTATGTCCCCCCTGTTGAGATTCCGTGTTGGAATATGTCCATTGCTGGTCGTTAGAGACGACTTGGTGGATTGGTTGGTCAGACGTGGTAACTTGACTATCTCGTGGATCGTTGCTCATGATATCAATCACATGTTATTCCCGTCGAGACTCGATTACTTGCAGATAGCTGTTCTGGAGGTGGAAAAATACAAATCACATTACATAGGTAACTCAGATGTCCATTCAAATAAGTAACTCTTTATTTCAAATATATAACTCTTTGGTATCTATGATCAACCTATCCTAATCCCAATGTAAATATTAAGTATAACCGATATGGTATTAACAGATTAAGTACTAAAGTTGAATTAGTAAATTATCTGTCGAAACATAATCAACTGGGCACGAAAGGCAAATGAATGCTGACTGGATCACTGAAAATCGGCTATAAAACCGTGTGTTCATGGAAAGGGTAAATGTGTAATGAAGCCCTGAAAGTAAAACAGAAGGAAACAAGAGGGCGAAAATATAGATGTAGGGTCATATATTCTTCAAAATACCTTTCTGTTGAAAATGCCCCGACCAAAAAGATAACCAAGAATCATTGAAAACTGTACCTGAAAGAAATTAATCTCAGCCAGGTTATCGATGCTAATAGTAGTGACAAGACTCAGTTCCTAGCAATGCCAAGCCTTTCCTCTTAACCACTCTGAAACCAACGGAACGCACGTGCGATCCATTTAAAGGACTTCCCAATTCACAAATTCTCCAGGTTGCAATTTTCTCTGTACAGTATAATGACTGTTTCCGCATGGGGTGCACCCGGGAGACGGCCCGCTCCCAGTTCTGTCTGTGTACTTGTGTCTGTGTGCCTTGCCCCAGGCTACGGGAGGGGTGAGCTATGCCATGTGTAGCAAAGTCTACACTTTCCCTCAGGGTGGGGTCCAATCAGGTAGACTGTCTGCAAGTTCACTGGGGATCAATATCGTCTATCAACATAAACAAAGGAGGTTTTAGAACACCCAATAGATTTGGTTAAGAACAGCAAGAAAGTTTCCTCTATCGACATTGCTGGAGCAAAACTGATAAAGGAACTGGCCGCCGGTTTAATGTTATCGAAACTGGTAAAATCAGCTGTTTGATGAGCTACTTTGTGAGTGTGGTTATAAGTGACTATTATCTACAGTTCTGCCAAAGTTGGCCTTGAAGAACTGGCTTCACACAATCAAACCATGTAGAGAATACAACGCTAATCTAAGAACCCATGACCGTCACGCCGATCGGCTTTTTTACAACGTAAACAGAGGGATGGAAACCCGTGAATCTACAAACGTGTGAAACATTATTATAACGAATAAATGATATGTTTATGGGGTGAGATGGGCCACAACAATAAGTTGATAGTTCACATACACGATTTCGTTTGCTCTTCACAGGGTCCTGCGTAAAGTTGTAGAATTTGAAACCCGAGTAATGTCACCACCAGCTCCGTCGGGACGTGACCCAGTCTATATTCCAGTGCCCGTTGGTAATCATTAAGTAGTAATCCCTACCCCCGATCGCAGTCTAAATGTTGAGAGAAATCTGATACGTAAAAGAAAAGGCTGGACAAAGTTTAAGCACGGTATCCCCCCCGGTAGTGGCTATCACCTGGGTTCTGACGAGCCTCACCGTAGGGAGCTGGAGCTCTTCAGAAATACAAGTCTTGGTGGAGACGCCAGGCAATTTCCGTCTTGCTCAGATGAAAGGGTTCTGAAGGTGTCGCCGAACCCTGTCACTACACTGTAAATGTCACATGTATGGTGTTTCTATTGGGTGAAGGTTTGCAGTGCTTTTCGGAATAATGTTGTTGTTTTGATCCTGTTAAAGTTCTTTACATGTGGCTAGACGTCATGTTGGGTCTCATATATAAGGTAGTTATTCTCTAGCAAAAGAAGATTGTCACCGCTGTGGAAATACAAGTGAATTACTTTGATCAGGGGTGCATTCCCGTGGGTGTCCTCGGGTAGGCTGTGATCTAAGAACCATATGAATATCGCGCTCTGGGTGTGGGGTTAGAAACGTACTCCCTGTTGACACCCTGTGGGGGATCTGTACTCCGTAGTATCCTATGCGGGAGCCCTGTTTGATGACCCAGGTTCCTGTTCCTCAAAACGATCGTAGCGCTAAGATGATCGTAACTCCCATGCTTTAACATGGACTTACGACTGTCGTAGTGCTACGTAGGATCGCTTTGACGAACGGGGCCCAGGACAGAATAGGTCCCATATGCATGCCACAAACCCTTTATAATAAGAGTTATACCCAGGCATAGTATACCCCAAGTATCTTATCCTTGCAGCAAGTTCCGACAAGAAGCCAACCTGGTACCCGTTTCACAAAGCTATCGATCTCTACGACGGTCTTAACTCGTGTTAAAGTATAGGAGTTATGATAGTCTTAGCGCTACGCACTCGTTGTAACAGGGGCCTCTGGTGTTTACAACGTGGAACCTAGATTTTTGCATTGTTTTAACCCGAAGACACATACATGTGTTCATGCTATCATTTAGGGGTGAAACGGTATACCGTGTTATTAGTAGAACCGTGATATTTTGCCTTCGGTTCGGTATACCGTAATTCAGTCCAAAAATTCAGTATTTTCGGTTTTCGTACCGTCATTTCTATCAAGTCATAAAATGACAGTTTTGTTCATTCAAAATAACAAAGATTATGGTTATTTTATTTTATTTCCATGTTATTAAACATTGTAAGTTTTGGCTCTTAATGTCAATTTTCTGCATTGTGATCATGTCTCATATACCGAACCGAAACGGACCGAAGTGAAGGCCTTGTACCGCAATACGTACCGTGGTAAGAGCGTACCGGTTCACCCCTACTGTCATAGACTAGTTTAGCTTAATTCTTAGAACCGACACCAGGTAATGTTAGATTTCACACCTGGCAGAGATGGCCTTCATGGTGTTTTCATTTTGTAAAGTTGTTTCAAGGCAATGTTGTCACGTGGTTTAGATGACACCTGGTTGTGATGACACCTAGTATGTGTCACCTGAAAGTAATTTGTAGAATGTACATTGAGACCTCGTATAATCGAACTTCGCAATCTCAGTGTTTTGCTTAAATTTGCGTTACCTTATGTTCTTATATTGAATAGGGTTAGTGCATTTGTTTCGAAATACAGACAACTCGATATTTAGTAGAAAACCACCAGGATTCCGAGTTTCCACGTGCACTGCCGCATGTTTAATAACCAGAAGGCGGTATATAAAAATATGACATATTGTACAAAAAACATCTCTTTTCAAAGTAAGGCTCATTTGAAATCGTTGCCAATTTGATTTCATTGGTTGTATTTATTACATCATGCACAGAACATTCGTTTCTAATCATGTTGGCTGTGTTTGGTTTAATGTCCTTTTCATTGAATTATATCTATTAAGTCTCAAATCGTTAATTTGCTATGTTATCCTACATTGCTGTGGACCCGTGAAGGTCCGGGTAAGAATGAGCCTTCAGTAGCCCATGCTTGTCGTAAGAGGCGACTAACGGGATCGGGTGGTCAAGCTCGCTGACTTGGTTGACACATGTCATCGGTTCGAAACAATTCCCAATTGTGCAGATCGATGCTCATGCTGATGATCACTGGATTGTCTGGTCCAGACTCGAAGCTTACAGACTGCCGCCATAAAGCAGGAATATTGCTGAGTGCGGCGTAAAACTAAACTCACTCACTCACTACATTACTGTGACTCGATGTATTTCAGATGAGCGAGGGAGAGACTGACGCTACCTGTCTAGACTCGCAGAGTGACGAATATTTGGATATAGAGGACATTGATGATGCCGATGGAGACGTTGATGGTGACGGCGATGTTGACGGCGACGAGATCGATGATGAAGATCTGACCAACAAATCCGGGAGCGAAGCCAATGGCAAATCTTCATCCTTCCCCCAGCGTCGAATGTTGAGGACCCCGAAGTGTGCTCGTTGTCGTAATCACGGAGTCGTGTCGTGTCTGAAGGGGCACAAGCGTTACTGTAGATGGCGAGACTGCCAGTGCTCCAACTGCCTCCTGGTGGTGGAACGACAACGGATAATGGCAGCACAAGTAGCCCTGAGAAGGTAAGAGGTGCAAAAATAGTACTACTAAGGTCAGGTGACAAAATAAAGGCTATACAGAAGGGGGTGGGTGTGGGTCGAGAATGGGGAAAGGATTGTGGAACGAGGAATGATGGTAGGTTGACGAGGGTGTGGCTGACAACAACAGGTGATGAGACAAGGAGACCTACTGCAATTGTTTCTATGTATACATTTGTGGGACGGGTTGGAAATGGTGGAATTCAAATGTTTCATAAGCACAACTCTGTCTCGTGGAAGGAAACAAACAAAGGAATGGACGAATGAAGTTTGATACATTGTCACGAGTTAATGTTGTCGTATTCATGACACTAGGTGTTTGGGAAACGGGTGAACAATCTACGTGCAATCTACGCGTGGGTAGGAGTGAATGGGGCGAGAGAGTGAATACGACTTAACGGCGCTTTTAACATTGTTCAGCAATATCACGGCGGGGGACACCATACGAAGTATTTACATATTATATACATTCGGGAATCGAACCTGGGTCTTCGGCTTGACATACGAACGCTCTTACCACCAGTCTACCCCAATGCACTTGAAAGTGAATGAGTGAGCTGGGATAACGTCGCTTTGAAAGTGATGCTGGTCTCGCACCTATAAAATATTTCATTTCAAATAATGCCCGCCAGGTTGTATTATTTGGGGGAAAATTAAGTCCATTTGAAGATTATTTGGTCACAAGCGTCTCAAATGGAACAGCCCACTAACATTGTACATGTAGAACTTAATAATTAACTGTGACACCGTCCTACAATAAAATCATAATTTAAAAGATTGATCCCAAGTGCATTTCACTAAAATATTTTAATATCTCCTTGTCACGTCCGGCGTTATCATGTCAACAGTAATTTATTTTCAAGGTTAATTATCTTATCAAATTAGCAGGATTTCATAAACAAATGTTGAATCACACAAACGCTTACCTCGTGCAACACGTGCAATACGTGCGAACGTTAGATAATGCGTGTAACGTTACCAATTAGCGATATGACATTTGCACCCTGTGTAGTCCGGGGCCAAACCTGAACCCAGTATTATAAGAAACATAATTGTCTATGATAAAGCGTGTCACAATAAACATATAAACAAACAGCCTTTAACATTTATAGTTACAGGAAATGATTAATCTGTTATGAGACTTTGGGCTTGTGTATAGACCCTCATTCTGATGCACCCTGAGCACTATATAGTGGCAGCATTAATACTGTTCAGTTCCCAGCTCAAGTAAACGCTTATGGCAAGCATCTTAGACTGTTAACAAGCAATGCATTTGTAAAATGAAAATAACCCGTAGGGTGAGACTGTGTAGGTTTAATGCACACATACTAATAAAATAATCAACATGGCCGGGGTCAATGTATGCTCTTATAATGTTCTGGTTCAAACAGTATTAGCTCTAAATGTGTGGTCTAGCAAAATTAACATGTTTATAAAAAGAAATTAAACTTGCTAGCAAATTCAAATTTGGCACATCCATGCCCAACCAAACACTCTTGCATTTTACTTTCACAAACAAAATAGTAACCCTTTATTGATCGGAGCAGTTATCTGTCAGCCACACGTGTGAGCGAATTGTTTTAAACTGATGCTCTTCCAGCCATGCCATAGCTTTGAAAACATGACTTATGTTAATTATACCCACATAGGGAATTGAACACCTGGTGTTCTTCATGAAGAGCTAATTGTGTTGTCCACTGATTAATCACCAAGTCCCCCGGGTGCCTCAGATAATTGCTTCCCTTTCTCATTAGTTTCGTCCATATGATAAATTTTTGATATATGTACGAGTTGGTGATTGCCTTGTTTCCACAGATAAGATATGACTATGTGTGTTAGTTTTCCAAGCAATTTGCTTTCATCAGTCTATTTTGTTTATATATTCATCTCTGTGAGTTTTTTTTCTATATTTCTGCCTATATTGATAGCTTTTCACAGATTAGAAGGGAGCATCAGATTGATTTGCAATCGGGTGTGGAGAACAGTTATTTTTTCCAGTTTTATCCGTCAAACAATTTAGTCAGATTCACTGTTAAGACAATTCTTTTGTAGTTTTAACTATTCATTTTTTACCATTGCCAACAAACTATTCCTTTGGAGGCATTTTTCACAACGAAACTTCTCCCTCGAGATATTGTATCTATGTGTAATAATATATTTAAGATGACCCCGTACTAGAAATAAAATACCAAGTATTACCTGCCGTTCATCACGTATTATACTTGTTAGTGTGTTAGATGTCGTTCTCAAATTATTACCAGTTACACCCATTAGTTACATGTGATTCACACAGTTTAACTAGTTAGCTAATTATACCCAGCATATGTCTAGCTATACACAATGTGTTACACTTCACTGACCACGTGTTCACCTGTTGTTGCAGGCACCAGGCCACGGAGATGACGGGCCAGATGAAGGCCAAGGTGAAGAGTGCCGCATCTCTCCTGCAGCAGCGGAAACTCCTGCAGAGGAACCTCAGAAGTCTACAGCAGCACTCCCTGTCCCGCGACATCCTTACCAGTAAGCGTCTATAACATCTGCATCATCAACATCATTTACATCATCTACAACATCTACATAATCTACATTATCTACAACATCTAGAGTAGTTACAACATCTGCATCATCAACAACATCTACAGTAGTTACAACATCTGCATCATCTTACAAAATATACATCATTATACTATTTGAAGTTTATCAACAGCTACATTATCTACGAACACGTCAACATCTGCATCATCTACAACAGCTATAACATCTCACAACAAATGCTTCATCATACCCCCTGCACCTTTATCAATAAACACATTATCCACAAAAACGTCAATATCTGCAACATCTACATCAGCATCACCATCCACCAAATATACAGCTTCAACAAATTGGAAGCAAACATATCAACTGATCATCAACATCTTCATCATCTACACCATCCGTACCGTCTGAAACACTTACAACATCGACAACATGTACAGCATCTACAACATCTTCCTCATCCAGATAATCTACAAGATAGTGGACGCGTTAATATGCTGCACACACAGTGATCGATTTTCTCGAGTAATGACTCTTATGAAGCTTACTTAGTCAGCCACAAGAAACGTCAAGAAGCACGATATCATCACATTAGTTATTTCTCAGCATTCTCTTTCCGGAGGAATATGATGAAGTATTGCACAATTTAATTACATATTAACATACTTTTTTATTCTCTTGACCGAATTCACGCGGTTGTTCCATTTCTTGAGTGTAAAACCAGAAACGACTTTCCGAAGTCTAAGATCATTGTTTTATGAAGCGTTATGTACTACAAAACCTAAATTGGACGTCAGGATCATGCTGCTGGTGACTATCATCGCCCATGGCGTCTAGGTACAAGGTATCTTTAACCCTGTACCCATCACAAGGGGTGATCTGCGGCAGCTTGCATTCCTCACACGTTCCCTGAAAGCCCACTAAGGTGGTCTGTTAGTACTTTATGCCTTCTCCACATCTTCAGATCTTCACACAGAGAAGCATCATATCAGACTAAAAGATCGGACTTTAATGATATTGATTGTTAACAGACCGTTTGACCATGCACCGCCCCTTTAAAATTAGGCACGTGGGTGAATGAGTTCCATCACTTTCAGTGGAACATTGAAATACATTTGTAGAATGTTGAGGTTAGAGTCTGTAATGGATGAAAAAAAGAAATGTTGTTCGAATTTCCCCGACAGTGACTACCATAACTTTTGAATGCCTCTGCCGAAGAATCCATAATTCAAGCTGAAGTGTTCGATTGATGGTAATAGGACCATGCTAGCCCCATCGAAATGGAATGCCAAAACAATCAATATCATGACCATCGGAACGGAAAGTAATTCTCCAGTTCCTCAACTTTGTCAGGCGTTTTTTTAATGGTAACTGCTTCACGTTATACAACCGCAGTTTCCGTTGCTATGAGTGCCATTCATCATAGTGATGGAGCACCTGACATTGAACAATATAACAGTTCCTTTCAAAACATATTACAGAGTGGTGGAAAGCTCAATGGCAGATCCCTACAGATCACAGTTTGGATGTATGCATTTCCATCAACATTCGCCAGTCCCTCCTTCCAAATATAATCCCTGCTGTACTGTACGTTACATGGGAGATAAAAACACATTTATTCAGTAAGTTACACCCAAAAAAACTGGTTCACGCTTGCACATCCTCCAACACCGGACACGTATTCCCTTCTCCGTGGTGTGATGGAAGCTAAGGAATTGTTGTCGTTGTTAGTTTTATTACAACCATCTGCCATTTGATCAGAGTTGTTGCATAGGGGGCGCTGCCTTTGGTGTAGTGCGCCCCCTAGCGAGTGATATAACCCATCTGCACCCACCCAGCTGATTTGTTACTGTTCTTGTTCCAGTGTCGGGATTAAGGTTACTCACAAAACACCTCGGAGAATTTCAAGGAGCGTAGTGATAATATGATGCTTATGTTGAGATTTACTTTATCTTCAATGTATATCTTTGGTAGAGGGTGTTGTATACACGAAGTTTGGGTTCACTGTGTAAGAAGAGACGACTTAGGGCACATCCCACGGTGGGGGCGGGATCACAAACACCCTTTCATCTTGTAAAACATGTAATCCCGTGTACAGTGGGAATGCAGGGCGATGGGAATTAAAAGAACAGGAATGTGTGGGTCCATTGTATCTGGTGCTATCGCTCCAGGGTGCTAGTATTTCAACTCTTGATAGAAGACATGGGAATGAGTTAAAGTAAGTAATTCTCAGTTTTTAAAATTTGAGGTCGCGGGTACTGAAAGAGGCTTATGATGTAATCTGAAAATGCAGGGAATAACTTGCTAGATATGTGAAAGCCCATTGCTGTTGGACCACTTTTCCTCATGCTGTGATATTGCTCGTGTGTTGCTTAAAACGGCGTAAAACACATCTCACTCACTCACTCACTCACTGAAATTGAGAAAGAACATGGTTGGGGAACATTGCAACAGCGGTGTCTTTTTATCTGACTATGTAGTTTATGTATGTTGCAAGAAAATACTGTTGGTTTAAATTCGGTGTAACAACACTACGTTGTAAGTGGCCATGAAGTCCGAAACAAAACATGCATTTGTCAAAATACCCTTGACTAAAGTGGCAAGGTGTGAGAGTGAGTATGGGTTTAAGCAGCTTTTAGCAATATTCAAGCGATATCACGACGGTGGACACCATAAATTGGCTTTCCACATTGTAGACATGTTGGGAATCCAACCTAGGTCTTCTGTGTGACACTTTCACCACAAATCTACCCCACAACCCTAAAGGATTGAAATGTGGTAGAAAATTTATTAACGAAGTTAATATGTATGTAACACAAAAAATGACACTGTATGACTTTCCAGTGATGTACTGATGTATCCTTCTGTTGCTAGGTTACCGTGCTCGCCTCCACGCCCTCCCCCAACCGGAGTCTCTCCGTACCATGGTACCCTACATGAACGAGAGGATGAGGAAGAGGAGGTGTTTCGCTGACAAGGAGTTGGAGCTGGTGATGCTGGAACGAGAGAGACAGGCAGAGATCGTGAAGAGTCGTGAAGCGGGGGAGACAACTCCAACCAGGAACATAGAGCTGACCAAATCCCGTCTTCTCGTAGGCAATATGACACCACGAGAGTTTCTCCAGAGAATCTTCCCAACTCATAATCCAAATGTGCTGGAGTTGGTTTGGCAGGGCTGTGGTGGAGATCTTGAACGGGCAATAGAACAGTTGGCCTCTGGAATGAAATCAGAGGCTCTTGCTCCAGTAAGGCATCATCAAGCTCTAGCGGCGAAGTTGATGCCGTATCAGTTTCCTGTGCCAATGATAGGATTAAAATCTCCCCCTCCAGAACTAATACCAAACGTCCATATGCAGAACTCACTATGTGCAATGAACTTCCCACCATGGGCGCTACATATGAACATGGCGGCTGGTGTTTTCCCAGCATGCCCTACAGTACAGATGCATACGACGCAACATCCGGAGCGGAAGTCAGAGCCGAACCAAGTTGACATGAGGAAAGCCATAAGCACAGAGGATTTGATTGCTCGACGTTCTGCCTTTCAGTCGTTGCACCCGACTCCGTCTCAGTCCTGTGTGTCCTCTGACTCTGTTTCCGTCCTCAGTGACAGCAGCTCCCCCAGTCCCCATAGTCCTCATAGCCCACACAGTCCGGCCTCCTCAAGTGATGAGGCAGCTGATGTGTACACGAAAATAGTGAAGGCAGCGCCTCTCAAATTCTCGGTGGAATCTATAATAGGCAAATGACAAGCTGAAGACCCGTTATGTTCCGGTTGTAAAACACGATGGTCTGAATGCTCATAATTCAGAGAGACTGAATTCTTGCCCAAGTAAAAACCATACTTATTCAAAAATGCACAAATGCAATTTCCCTTTCCTTTCATGAATCCTTCAACTAATTAACTGAAAAAGAATGCTGCTTGATCGAGGTATAAGAGTTCGATTCATTAGATACCCATCCATAGCAATACGTGACTTGGTTGTTTACATCGCATCAATAAATACTTTAATTATTTTTAAATATCATTTCAAGCATCCGTGAAACTATTGCTAATACCCAAATATCGGTTTTGACATTTTGAGGAAGATAAGGACCTTGACGTCAGCACCATCAGTCATTTGTTGCCACCCGGGGATATTTCAAAGCCTGTTTAGTGTACATATACGTTTCTGTTCAACTTGTATATATCTTGCCTTGTGTACATGCGTCCGTTTTTATCTTGCATAAATCTTTACCTTGAACGCAGTTGTTGATGTTCTCATTTTCATTTTGCTCATTTTCGTTGAAACCTTACAGTTAAACATATTGTGCTATTGCCATGATCCTACAAGAAGTTTAAATGCGGATCCAATTTCAGACAAGGTTAATATAATGCTAATAAACCATGACAAAATATTAATTATGTCAAACCACATCCGTTAGTTGCCTCATTGGGGGAGTTGGCGTATTTATACATTTTTAACTTCTCAAAACCAAGAACAGTTACTGCATAAAGCAAAACAATGAACATGCGCCATGAGCATGCATGAGTGGGTGGACACTGGCGCTTTACAAATATCCACTATTATTATTATTATTATTAAATGTAATAAATATGTATAATAGATATTTGCGAGAAACAATATATCAACGTGGAAGATTTATTATATAAGAAGAAGAAATTAAGGATTATACCACATTGAGCTATGTTTACGTCCTTACTGAAATATGAATTGACATTTTGTCTACATCTTATACATCTTATTTGTCATGTATTACCTGGCGATATTGAGAATTTCTTGTGAACAAGTACACAGGAGCTATGTCAACCACTGGGGAATCACAATATACCAATCAATACCATGTCTCCGAGACAATACAGCTGCACGAACGTACACAGATATCTACGAGTTGTATTGAAAGTCTGTTCTCGAAGGGCTTCCGGCTGCATGGAAGCTCTTCGCGGTAATACATTTGTATGGATGATCTCTACGCAGGTACACTTCAGTTGCATTAAAGGGCTTTACGCAGGGATGTTACAGCTGTATTGAAGTGCTTTACGCAGGGATGTTACAGGTGTATGAAAGGGCTTTACTCAGGGATGTTACAGGTGTATGGACGGGCATTAAGCAGGGATGTTACAGGTGTATGGAAGGGCTTTACGCAGGGATGTTACAGGTGTATGGAAGGGCATTAAGCAGGGATGTTACAGGTGTGTGGAAGGGCTTTACGCAGGGATGTTACAGGTGTATGGAAGGGCTTTACGCAAGGATGTTACAGTGTATGGAAGGGCTTTATGCAAGGATGTTACAGGTGTATGAAAGGGCTTTACGCAGGGATGTTACAGGTGTATGGACGGGCTTTACTCAGGGACGTTACAGGGGTATGAAAGGGCTTTACGCAGGGATGTTACAGGTGTATGGACGGGCTTTACGCAGGGATGTTACATTACATGGTGTTACAGGTGTATGGAAGGGCTTTACTCAGGGATGTTACAGGTGTATGGAAGGGCTTTACTCAGGGATGTTACAGGTGTATGAAAGGGCTTTACTCAGGGATGTTACAGGTGTATGGAAGGGCTTTACTCAGGGATGTTACAGGTGTATGGAAGGGCTTTACGCAGGGATGTTACAGGTGTATGGAAGGGCTTTACGCAGGGATGTTACAGGTGTATGGAAGGGCTTTACGCAGGGATGTTACAGGTGTATGGAAGGGCTTTACAGGGATGTTACAGGTGTATGGATGTTACAGGTGTATGGGTGTATGGAAGGGCTTTACTCAGGGATGTTACAGCTGTATGGAAGGGCTTTACTCAGGGATGTTACAGGTGTATGGAAGGGCTTTACTCAGGGATGTTACAGGTGTATGAAAGGGCTTTACTCAGGGATGTTACAGGTGTATGGAAGGGCTTTACGCAGGGATGTTACAGGTGTATGGAAGGGCTTTACGCAGGGATGTTACAGGTGTATGGAAGGGCTTTACTCAGGGATGTTACAGGTGTATGGAAGGGCTTTACAGGGATGTTACAGGGGGGATGTTACAGGTGTATGGAAGGGATTTACGCAAGGATGTTACAGTGTATGGACGGGCTTTATGCAAGGATGTTACAGGTGTATGGAAGGGCTTTACTCAGGGATGTTACAGGTGTATGGACGGGCTTTACTCAGGGATGTTACAGGGGTATGAAAGGGATTTACGAAGGGATGTTACAGGTGTATGGATGGGCTTTACTCAGGGATGTTACATCTGTATGGAAGGGCTTTACTCAGGGATGTTACAGTTGTATGGAAGGGCTTTACTCAGGGATTTTACAGCTGTATGAAAGGGCTTTACTCAGGGATGTTACAGGGGTATGGACGGGCTTTACTCAGGGATGTTACAGGGATGTTACAGGTGTATGGAAGGGCTTTACGCAGGGATGTTACAGGTGTATGGAAGGGCTTTACTCAGGGATGTTACAGGTGTATGGAAGGGCTTTACGCAGGGATGTTACAGGTGTATGGAAGGGCTTTACGCAGGGATGTTACAGTGTATGGACGGGCTTTATGCAAGGATGTTACAGGTGTATGGAAGGGCTTTACACATGGACGTTACAGGTGTATGGAAGGGCTTTACTCATGGATGTTACAGGTGTATGGAAGGGCTTTACTCAGGGATGTTACAGGTGTATGGAAGGGCTTTACGCAGGGATGTTACAGGTGTATGGAAGGGCTTTACTCAGGGATGTTACAGGATGTTACAGTATGGAAGGGCTTTACGCAGGGATGTTACAGGTGTATGGAAGGGCTTTACTGCAGGGATGTTACAGGTGTATGTATGGAAGGGCTTTACGCAGGGATGTTACAGGTGTATGGAAGGGCTTTACACAGGGGAAGAGGCTTTACGTTACAGGTGTATGGAAGGGCTGTTACAGCAGGGGGCTTTATGTTACAGGTGTATGGAAAGGGCTTTACGCAGGGATGTTACAGGTGTATGGAAGGGCTTTACAGGTCAGGGATGTTACAGGTGTATGGAAGGGCTTTATGCAAGGGGATGTTACAGGTGTATGGAAGGGCTTTACTCAGGGATGTTACAGGTGTATGGAAGGGCTTTACTCAGGGATGTTACAGGTGTATGGAAGGGCTTTACTCAGGGATGTTACAGGTGTATGGAAGGGCTTTACTCAGGGATGTTACAGGTGTATGAAAGGGCTTTACGCAGGGATGTTACAGGTGTATGGACGGGCTTTACGCAGGGATGTTACAGGTGTATGGAAGGGCTTTACGCATGGATGTTACAGGTGTATGGAAGGGCTTTACTCAGGGATGTTACAGGTGTATGAAAGGGCTTTACTCAGGGATGTTACAGGTGTATGGACGGGCTTTACGCAGGGATGTTACAGGTGTATGGAAGGGCTTTACTCAGGGATGTTACAGGTGTATGGAAGGGCATTAAGCAGGGATGTTACAGGTGTATGGAAGGGCTTTACTCAGGGATGTTACAGGTGTATGGAAGGGCTTTACTCAGGGATGTTACAGGTGTATGGACGGGCTTTACACAGGGATGTTACAGGTGTATGAAAGGGATTTACGCAGGGATGTTACAGGTGTATGGACGGGCTTTACGAAGGGATGTTACATCTGTATGGAAGGGCTTTACTCAGGGATGTTACAGTTGTATGGAAGGGCTTTACTCAGGGATTTTACAGCTGTATGAAAGGGCTTTACTCAGGGATGTTACAGGTGTATGGACGGGCTTTACTCAGGGATGTTACAGGTGTATGGAAGGGCTTTACGCAGGGATGTTACAGGTGTATGGAAGGGCTTTACTCAGGGATGTTACAGGTGTATGGAAGGGCTTTACGCAGGGATGTTACAGGTGTATGGAAGGGCTTTACGCATGTTACAGGATGTTACAGGTGTATGGACGGGCTTTACGCAGGGATGTTTTACATGGTGTATGGAAGAAGGCTTTACGCAGGGATGTTACAGGTGTATGGAAGGGCTTTACGAAGGATGTTACAGGTGTATGGAAGGGCTTTACTCAGGGATGTTACAGGTGTATGGAAGGGCTTTACTCAGGGATGTTACAGGTGTATGGAAGGGCTTTACTCAGGGATGTTACAGGTGTATGGAAGGGCTTTACACAGGGATGTTACAGGTGTATGGAAGGGCTTTACTCAGGGATGTTACAGGTGTATGGAAGGGCTTTACGCAGGGATGTTACAGGTGTATGGAAGGGCTTTACTCAGGGATGTTACAGGTGTATGGAAGGGCTTTACAGCATAGGAATGTTACAGGTGTATGGAAGGGGCTTTACTTTTACAGCATGGATGTTACAGGTGTATGGAAGGGCTTTACTCAGGGATGTTACAGGTGTATGGAAGGGCTTTACTCAGGGACGTTACAAGTATATAGAAGGGCTATACTCAGGGATGGCATAGCTGCATGGAAGGACTTTACGCAGGGATGTTACAGGTGTATGGAAAGGCTTTACTCAGGGATGTTACAGGTGTATGGAAGGGCTTTACTCAGGGATGTTACAGGTGTATGGAAGGGCTTTACTCAGGGATGTTACAGGTGTATGGAAGGGATTTACTCAGGGATGTAACAGGTGTATGGAAGGGATTTAAGCAGGGATGTTACAGGTGTATAGAAGGGATTTACTCAGGGATGTTACAGGTGTATGGAAGGGATTTACTCAGGGATGTAACAGGTGTATGGAAGGGATTTAAGCAGGGATGTTACAGGTGTATGGAAGGGCTTCACTGAGGGATGTTACAGGCATATGGAAGGGCTTTACCCATGTATGTTTTTGCTGTATAGAAGGTCTCTTTCATAGAAGGACTATACAGTGTGACATGGCTATAGCCAGAGATCTAAAAAAATATGTTATTGATTGCTTTCACTCGTGTGTTGTGTAAACTGATCTAATTAATGTATTATTCACATGATTTACAAATAACGTCATTGTGACGTCATTACATGTTACGAACTGGTTAAATATAGTCGCATGTAACAATATCACATTCTGTTCCCATAAACTAAGAACCTTAAAACCTTTAGTTTTGAAAAGCTTTTTATTTATCTCTACATAACAGTTCATTTGGAGGCACAGATTTCCCAGTCGCCTAAGCGTCGTTTCGCTGTGCAAGTTGTGTCCCTTGGGTGCACCTGGAATCAATGATTCTGGTTTCGAATCCCGGTTTGCTCCGATTAAGTTCCAAGGTTTGTCAGCACCATACCGTATGACCAAAATGGTAAAGTCATGAAGCCGTGCATCA